GTTAAAGTGGACGGAAGCCGCGAAGGTAGAGGGGGGAGTACCCTGGCATGCGGCGGTGCTGCAGGGAGCTGAGAGGTTCATGAACTCCTGGCACGAGAAGGAAGAAGAGGCCAGCCGACAACGGGCGCTCAAACGAAACCACAAGCCACCAACCAATGGGGCGGGAGGGGCAGGAGACGGACGAGACGGCGAGGGAAGAAAGCAAACGAGAATAGACGGACCGAGTGGCGCGATACGTGCCGGATTGAATTTCTTTTAGCCAATTCCTCCCCCCCCAACGCTGCACCATTGCACCAACCCCCACCACTGATGACGTACCATTACAATGTATCGCTGGGTGGTGGTCATGTGTGCGTGTTTGCTTGTGGTTAGTGGTCTCTCCACCCTGTGCCTTTTTCTGTCTCTTATTTCTTATTATTTTCGGCCTGGTCCCTTTTTGTCCTCACTCTGTTTATTTCATGTTCTCTTTCCTTCTAGTACTGTTTCCTTTTATTTCCTTCTCTCTTTCTGAAGTACCAGATGGACTTGTCTCTGCTTCCGTTGTGAAGGACCAAGATTGAACCAATGGGGTGTACCTCTTTCTCTCCGGCCCGTGATGGCGACTCCTCTGGTCTCAGTTGTTATACCTCGCATAGCGCGCAGAGGGAGTGGAGGACTCCAGAATAGCTGTCGTTGATTTCCATTGACTTGCGGACCCCTCGGGGCCATTTTATTTGAGTGTACCTTTTTAGGGTGAGTTAGCCTGCGACCACGGGAATCGACCGCGTCGAGTGTTGTATCAGTACGGACATACGAAGGTACTGGGTAGAGAGAGATCGGAACGGTTTACTATGTGAAGACAACAACAACAACAACAACAACAACAACAACAACAACAACAACAACAACAACAACAACAACAACAACAACAACAACAACAACCACAACAGTCGAACGGATATAGGATATATATGGAGATCCAGGAGCACAGACACCTGCTACGTACATGCGTGCATACCAATGGTTCATACTAGTATATATTGTAGAGAGTAGGATCTAATCTAAGGGATATCTGACGATAGATGCGTTTCTTCCCAACAGCTGCGAATGGTCGACGAATCTTCAGCAGGATGGGAAAATGAGTCCAAGAAGGCTCGCCCACTCTCCGCACCACCCTACAAGCTTGACTGAGTTCGCTCGGTCACGCTTGGCATTTCTCGCCACATCGCATCAAAGGAAATAGCCAGCCTCCAGTGGCAGGTCGTAGTCACGACAATCTTGCTCCGGACCCAGAGTAGAGGGCTCCATAGATCCAATCTTCTTCCCTCTTCCCGTCTGCTGTCACGATTCGTCACACGATGTGGGTGTGGTCATTGCACCTCCCTCATCACGAACCCGTACGGTAGGTAACGACAACAACAACAGCCAAAATCATCTGCCAAACTTCGGGCGCGATCGACGTGGAACAGGAACAACGGCAGCAGCAGCACCCGTCGTGATGCTATGAACGCTACTGCTGCTGTGCATGGCGATGGCGATGGTACTCACTGCTTTGCGGAGGTCTGCACCATCAGTCTGTGTCATCGGCGCGGGTGCAGCTGGTTTGGCTGCTGGTCGGTGTCTCCGGGACGAGGGGTGTCGAGTAACGATTCTCGAAAAGTCCCATGACGTGGGCGGGGCGTGGAGGTACAAGCCGGAGCCGGAAGCTAGGGCTCATATGTGTGAGTCCATCTTTGCTGCTGTCCTTGTCTTCGCTTTGCTTCCGTCATCATGTGGCGACTTACTAACCTCGGGTACCACGGTTCGTGTGAGACTCCGTGCCTTTTCTGTCAGAGAGATTTTGAAAACGCTCTATGCACTGCCACCGCTGTCGCCTTCTCGACGTGGACAGCATACGCGGGATGGAGCTGGGTAGCTTGGATGCATGCGGGTTATTGGTGCGCGTGCTACCTATAACCAGGATATGCAACGGTTTGGCGCCGTGGACACTACACGACCATGGCGGAAGGACTAGACCCTTGCAACACGGTTGCATGTACAAGGTGTTGGGGTGTTTGCTGTGCAAGACCGACTCTATTCTGCTGTATGTGTTTGATACGGTATTGTGAAGGCGTTCTGTTTTACTGTAACCGTCAGGTGCAGACAGTCCAGGCGTCTGTGTGTGGATAATAAATCTTGATATTTCCATTTATGTAGATTTAGAAGAAAGTTTCCTAGAAACTTCATGCAGGCAAATATTTTAAGATCTACGCGGCTTCATATGATTGGCTGAGGGGCAACAGTTCTTCCCCTCTCCCACCCAACGAACTTCCCCTGACCGCAGGTGGTACTGCTTTTTTTTGGTGCGCTGCATGATAGCTGCACCCTGCTGACACCGCTCTCTCTCACTCCTCTGCTGTTGAGTGTGCGTGCATGCAATGCATGTGCGTGTCTGTGCCGCCCCCCGAAACCAACCCCACCACACGAAATCGCACCAGAACGTAGACAGGGAGGGAGTAATTTTACTGGCCAGCAGCGTCGGCACGAATTGCTGTGTCGCATTTCAAGCGTTCCGGGCGGAGGCACATCAAGTCAAACTCTCTCCATGCTAGCAGAGAACCAGCAGAGAATAATCTTGCGCGGGGAGGACGCGCCCGCCTACACCAGGAGGCCACTGCGTGCTGTTCCTCCTGTCTGTTTGCTC